GCTTAACCGGTTAGCATAACATATGTTACTCCTTCATATTTTTTCGTTACTATTGATTCTCAAGCAGGACAATATAATCAAAATATTAGTAATAATTTAAATAATTATTTGGATGATGATTTGTTTATTGGTATGCATTTTGAATCAAAAGAAGCAACAGTAAATGCTATAAAGCAGTTTCATATTAAGAATTCTGTTGATTACATTGTTGTGGAGTCTAGGCCTGATAGATACGTTGGACAATGTAAATATTTTGGTGTTGGATGTAATTTCCGAATTCGGACATGTGTTAATGTAAAGCGTAATTTGCGAGAGATTAGAAAAATTAGTGGAAGACACACTTGTGTTTCCACTTGTATTTCCAAAAATCACGCGAAATTGAGCTCATCATTCATTGCAAGTTGTATTATCCAGTTAGTTTCTGAAGATCCTGGTATACCAATCAAAGCACTGGTAAAAGAAGTAGTAACTCAATTTGGTTATACGGTGACATATAGGAAGACTTGGACTGCTAAACAAATAGCAATGTCCCAAATTTATGGTGATTGAGAGGGATCGTACAAGGAGTTACCTCGTTGGTTGAATGTTGTTGAGTGTGATTTACCTGATACAATTGTAAGATACGCAGCATCTCGCCATGAAGATGATAGTACTTTATTTCTTGATAAAGTATTTTGGGCTTTCAAGCCTTGCATTGAAGGGTTTCAGTTTTGCAAACCAATCCTTCAAGTGGATGAGACATTCCTTACTAGAAAATATTGTGGAACATTGCTAATTGTCAGTTCACAAGATGGTAATAGACGTGTATTTCCAGTTGCTTTTGCCATTGTCGAAGGAGAGACTAAAGAAGCTTGGGAGTGGTTTTTCTACAATCTTCGGACATATGTTACTCCCCAACCAAATATATGTATAATATCAGATAGGGGAACAGGTTTATTGGGTGCACTACGTACTGAGTTGCTGCAATGGTGTAATGCACAATCAGTTTACTGTATTCTTCATGTAGCTAGCAATTTCAACAATGAGTTCAAAGATACAGATCTTAAAGAAAAAGTTGAAATGAGTAATTATTAAATTATTTATTGCTTAATATGTTAAAGTATTTATTTGATGACAGATATGTTCATATCCATGTAAATGTTGTAGGTTATGAGTTGGTGCGGCCACATTTTGAGCAAATGCTTAGTGCTTTCCGTCAAAAAAATCCTAGAGCAGCTTCTTGGTTAGACAACATACCAAAAGAAAAATGGACGCAATCATATGATAAAAGGAGACGATACGGTCATATGACGACCAACCTAGCAGAATGTGTTAACGGTGTTTTGAAAGGTTCAAGAGCTTTGCCTATCACTGCCCTAGTTAGAGCAACATACCATAGGCTGAATTTTTGGTTTGTTCACCATAGAGATTAGGCAAGCAGTATGGTTAGAGCAGGCCATATATATTGTGCACGACAAATTTCATGACGACGAATCTCGTGTCTCTGGTACACGAGATTGGACCAGGGAGTAACATTCTTGGTCCACGAGATTCAAGTCTCGTTAATTGCAGTCACGACATACCAAAAAGTTGCACCATTCCAGTAAATAATTTTTGACATGTACTAATAGTGGAATAGTGTAGTCAAACTACACTATCCACGTAATTTTTCCAAGTTACTAATATGAGTTAAGGTGCCTAATGTGAAGGTGGTTGACAATTAGTGGATCAGATTTGTGGGGGTATGTTGGTTAACTCTCTCTCTCACTTCAATGGTAGTTTCGAAGATAGTGGGGAAGTTATTTTCTCTATTAACTTATCCTTAATCCCTCTATAAATAGAGTATTTAATTCTTGAAAAGCTCATCATTGATCATTGACCAATTCATTTCAGATTTCATCAACATTTCCAACAATTTGAAGTTATGTTTCAGGAAGTTCAAGTAACTATTATGTTTACTTTTATTTTAAAGGGAATATTTGTAAGAAGTTAAGCTTAGTAAGCTTTAGCTTGAGGGGGAATATTAGAATATATGATATTATCTTAGAATATCTTAAAAGAATATCATATTATGATCATATCTTAGATTTGTTTATAGTATCTTAGAATATCTCTTAGGATATAGATTAGTTTATTATGATTAGGTTGTTATTTAATTAGGAGTATTATATTAGTATAAATATGAGTTAGTTGTAAGTTTTTTAAGACAATCAAAATAAACACAATATCATCATTCCTACTACTATACAATTTTATATTTTGAACATTATCTTTTCTCCTTCTATAATTTAACCATATAATTTCAACAGATATACTTTAGTGTCTGATTAAAGAAGGAAAAAAGATTTCATGTCCCTAAAAAATCCTGTCCCTAGCCAATTATATTCCACCAAGTAGTAAAAACACATTATTTTTTGTTTTTATAATTTTCTTTCTTAACTAGTTGGCATTTTCTGATTGGATTGGTACATAATAATGAGACACCAAATATTAAAACAAGTGATCTTCATTCTTAAAGAAAGTGTAGTGCTATGTAGAGAATGAAGGGAATTGAGTACTTAACCATCAAGGAATACAAAAAGGGATGATAGAGAGGTGACAACGAAGACAATAAAAAAATGTAGTTGAAAGAAAGAGAAATGGAACAATATGTTCTTTAATTTCCTCATTACATGTGAATGATATAATGTCAATATTCTAGAATTGAATAGTATATATTTGTATGTTCATTAATTGTGATGCATTTCTGATCTCTTGATCACTCAAAGATGAATCACTGTATATAATTAACCATCAGTTTTGACTGATATCATTGACCCATATAATTCTTTTATCCTACCGTTATAGAATTCACCTGTTTTCTAACTTCCGATTTTCACATCTATGGTTTAAATCCAAAGGACTTAAATTTTTTGTGTCAGCAACTTTACCACGTAAATTTGTCTCTCTATGCAATCGTGAATTAGATTTATCATATACTTGGAATAAATTCTATATATATCATACGTAATATCTTATTCACATTTGTGTATACAGTTACATTTACATGAAAACAGTTATGCGTTTGTTGTATTTCTTTTGTTGGGTTTAAATATATGAATGAAGGTTTAAATATATGTATGCGTTTGTTGTATTTCTTTTGTTGGGTTTAAATATATGAATGAAGGTTTAAATATATGAATGAAGTAATAGTTGAACATAGAAGAAAATTTCTTAGATGAAGACATATATTTGATTGATCAATAGTTGGATGAGTACTTTGGTGGGTTGAAAGACATAAACTTTCATACATAGTACAACACCTTTCATTACCCTACAAATTACAATTAACCTCATAAGTCTTATCTATAGGACTATTTTCAACACATTAAGAATCTCATGAAACTTCTAGATCATACATGTTATATCTATCGTAATGTAATTATTTAGAACTCTCTATACACAAGCTAAATATATCACATTCTTATAGAACTCTCGAGAAAGTTGTGGCACATTTCAACACTCTTCTTTAACATAATTTTCTAGAACTCTTAGAATTCTTTGCAACATTTTTCTCGTCCTCTCCTCCTACATTAACGTTCAAATGATATTGTTGAACTCCAAATTAGAACTTCTACATTCTTTTATATTTGAAGTGATGAGTCTCCTTGTCGGTCTTGTTAGAGACTTTTGATAGGAGTTTCATATTGTACCTTCAATCTTCTTTTTCGGCTTGTACTCAAGCAAAGCCTTAGAGGCCACATGTCTTCTATATTAGTCATTGCATGGGCTTATGCTCGTCATATAAGCTTGAGTCTCAGAGACCACAAATCCGAAGCACTTAGATAAATAAATGATAGTTAGGTTGAATCTAGTATGACTCTAGAAAACTTTAGAAGTAGATTAGTATTAGTAGAAAATTTGTTTGGAGTAATAGGTGATGTTAGTAGACCACATTTTTGGAATAGTAATTGAGTGACTACCCCCAATATATGACGGAACGTAGCTCTTATACCACTGGTTGAGTTTAAATAGATGATAGAAGTAATAGTTGAACATAGGAGGAGATTTCATAGATGAAGACATATATTTGATTGATCAATAGTTGGAGGAGTACTTAGGTGGTTTGAAGGACCTAAACTTTCATACATAGTACAACACTCTCCATTACCCCACACATTACAATTAACCTCATAAATCATATTTATAGGATTATTTTCAACACATCAAGAATCTCATAAAGCTTCTAGACCATACATGTTATATCTATCGCAATGTAATTATCTAGAACTCTATAGACATAAGTTAAATATGTCACATTCTTATAGAACTCTCTAAAAAGTTGTAGCACATTTCAACATCTTTGCATCAACCACACCAATCCTCCATGTAAGGATTTAAGGCGACTGCATTATCATAAACTTTTTATAATCTGCGCTGAAATTAAAATAACTATGTGTTTGTTCATCTATGCGCTTGACGGTGTGGGTGATATATACAAATATAGATTTTTTTCAAATTTTGTAGTGCATGGTAGGTTATATATGTAATTAAATCTGTATGTTCAGAAATGAGCAAGTGGTCCTATTTTATATCACTTGACAACAACTTTTGGTTGAAAATAATCGACCCCACACCCAACTCACCCTCTTCATTTCTTGCACCCATCCCACACCCACTAAAGGAGATATATTACTTGACCTTCCAGTACTGGATCGAATATGAGGAGAAAGAAAGTTTAATAATTTTTCAATATTATTTTATTAAATAATAATTAAAATATGGACCGTTAAAAAATTATATACGCTACATGTCAGCAGCATCGGCATCCAATACTAGACAGATTTCTACTCCTTTAAAAGCACCTACAATAGCCTTTTTGACATAGATGAGTAGGCTAGAACCACATGAGATGAAGATATGAGTCTCCTCAAATTCACCACTTTCTAAACTCATTTATATGCTCCTTTTTTACTCTACAATCTCAAGCTTAGAAAAACTCAAAAACCTTAGTATTATCTAGTGGCATGAGAAGGTGCATGTAGAACAAGATGGAGAAGCAGGGCACGTGCAACACTAACTTCAGAGATAATCACATTCTCTTATGTTTCACCATTAGTTAGTATTTCATGTGCCCCTCTTCCCCATCATGACTGCAGCACCTTATATATTCGTGAATTGTGATGTTCCACATTCAAGGTGAGTATACTAAACTGAACTCATCATTTTCATTTCTTTTTTTATTATTCAATATTCAACTTTAGCATGAGATTGAAAAGAATATTTGAAATTAGTATAAAGTTAAAAGTGGTTGATGAAAATGAATAAGCATTGAAACTTTAAGGATGCATATGAGGTTACTGGTTTAATTTGGATTCTTTAGAATCTGCGTTTGAGTTTAGGAAAGTTAAGTTCATAATGGCGCATAAACATTAACTGAAGTATTTTATTTGAGCATTTTATTCAGAGAACACACAAACATTTTATTTGAGCAATGAAGAACAAATGTTGCACAAAAGTCAACATGGAGAGTTATCAGCATTATAATGCTGTAATCAGTGGCCGATAGAAACAAATCATCATTTGTAGTTTAAGTTTATTTTCTTATAAAACAATAACTATATGAGAGTCTCACAACTTATAATGAAAATTGATAACAATAAAATGTGGATTACAAGATGGATGGTTGATGATTAGGAATAAAAGCATATTACTATCTCACCGGTTAAATTTTTATTTTATTTAAATCATGTGTTAAAATAAAATGTGTGACTTGTCACTTGTGTATATATTATGTTTTACAAGTTTAAATAAAGTTAATGGTTGTATGTTTGATTATCCATAACAACATTTTGATAAAATTAAGTCAATTTAATATAAACTTTTAATTTTCAATCTAAATTGAGAGATATGACTAATATAGTTTAAATGAAAATCAGCTGATATAACCAATATTAGTCAATGCATAATTGGTATATTGATGTACTACATCAGTATGATGATGACCGATTTTTCTATTGAACCGGTTAGTACCATTTTCATAACTATCATATATTATCACTTAAAAACTCATACATTTATATATGAATCTTCACAATTCAAATAAAAAATAATATAATGGACCATATTAATTTCTCACTTCTCTTTATTTCCTCAAAGAAACACTAATGAATTATATGAGCAGTGTGAGTGGTTGGTTGGTCCTCCTCAAAAAAGCAAAGCACAATTGATGGGTGCACTTGATTGTTTTTAAAGCAAAATAAAATTTATTGAAGGTGATAAGATAGTTCTTAATTTTAATTTTTATTAAAAAATAAGTTAAAATGGTGGACATTAAAATGCTATATATGATTTTCATCCCTATCAAATGGTATAAAGTATAAACCACCGAGTAGATAGAAATGAAACCATCAACAACTTTGCATAGCAGAACAGAAAATTGAAAATGGAATAGAATAAGCATCACTACCCATTCCAAATCTATGCCCTAGAATATTACATTCTAAATGATTCTAATGATTATAAATCTATACCGTGGAACGAACGAACACCCTTTATATATAGATCATGGTGTTGTAGTGTTATGTGTATATCTAATTTTTTCTTTCCACAAATAAAAATTAATTGTATTTCTTATTTAATTTTTATCTTATTATTTTTTAATAAATATTTTTATCTCTTATCTATACAGTTCATTCGTGATGCCCTTTGATGCACTCTGATTGTATTGTTTTATTTTCTTCGAGAATTTACTATGTATCAATGGCACCATGGTAATCTTATCAATCACATTTTCTTTTTTGCCAAATTGCATATGAAAAAGAGGGGGAGAGAAAAGAAATGGAAAATTTATAAGATTGGTATAGTTTAACTTGTTTTTTACGGTTTTAATGTAACTTTTTGAAATATTATGGGAGTGTTGTAAATTTTAAGCGATTTTTAGGATGCCGTGAATAATACCTATGGTTCCTATGGAAATTCTAGCATGGAATTTGTGGCTTCTCTTTAATGTAAATAAATAAACACGTGTCATTAGATTAAATTTTTCACACGGTTTCTTATTCTCTGTCCTACACCAATTAGAATATTACTTTGTTGTTATGCTTTATTTTTAATTTTTTCTTTTATTCATATAATAACATTCTGATTAGTCCGAAATAGGAAGTAAGACACCGTGTGGAAAATGTGATCTAATGACACATATTTATTTATTTATTTATTTATGTTAAAGAGAATTTGTGGCTTTGAGACACGAATTCCATGAAATTTGTTGCTTCCGACCACGGTTTCCATAGGAACTGTAGGTACTATTCACGGCATCCGAAAAATCGCAAATCGTGTAAGTAAAATTTACACCAGTTACACTAAAACCGTAAAAACAAGTCAAATTATATCAATCTTGTAAATTTTCCGAAAAGAAACCTATTGTTAACTCATCAAACATCTCATAAAACATATAGGATGAGATATTCTCTTGTATTAGCCATTCTCTAGTATTAGACATTCCAGTAATGGAATATCTAGAATATAAGGGATGTAAATTAGCTTGACAATTTATAATTTTTGTAAGGCAATATATCATCTTCTTAGATAGATATTGGAGAATCGTAGTATTGATAAGTTTCTAGTTTCCAAGTGTCCTCATCTACTTTAACCATTTCCCAATCATCTTAAGATGCATAATATTTGTCCAAAACCTATGCAACAAAGTGTACGCATTTTTTTGTTTTGATTGACTAGAGGCATCATGCCTCCAGATCCAGCAATTTTTGTTGTCTTTCTTTGGTTTTAGGTTTTCCAATAACCTGTTCATTTCAGTAGCATAGTTTTGTTCCCACCCTTTTGAGTCTATTCCCAATTCTCTTTTCATTCCACAACCCAACACCACATTTTATTTTTTTTATAGACAAATATTAGTATCTTAGTATTTTATGATGGGTGAAATTTGACCTTCAATTTCTTTATCATTTCACTCCTTAAATTTTTCTCCCTTACCATTTGATCACCTGAATCCAACACTACTTCTTAACACTCACTCACCAAATTTTTATGTTAACACTACACTCCATAAAGGCTCACTCTCATTAGAGCTAGATTAAATAATTTAATATTTTTTTATTCCTAACCCATCCTCCATTTTTGGGTTAAACACCTTTTCCCACTTTAACCAACTTAATGTCCCCTCTTCCTCATCCTAGGGAAGAAACCTTCTCTGAAGATGTATTAATAATAGGTTTAGGTGGAACAAAGAATTATATGAAATATAAAGATTGTAAGGACAGTACCGAATTTTTGAAGTAACTTAGGAGTATTAGTCCACCACCAAAGATGTATCTTTGCTTTAAAATGAGAGTTTTCTTTTAAATATGCTAAGAATAAGATTTCAAGCCCCAATAGAAATTCCAAGCTATTTGGAAGGAACATTGTTCCATTGTGTTTATTTCAATTTTGAGAAAATTCAGTCAAAATTCAGTCGAGGTAGCATAAGTGTGGTCGTGATATCGTTATGAAGACTTCCAAAACCATAATATTATAACCTTAATTGCAAAATATAATTTAAAACATGGTTCCAAGCTTTGCATTTTAATTTTTCTGAGTTAAAACAATTATATCATCATCAACTTTTATCCCAGTAGCATTGTTCTTATGGAAATTTATTTTCAACCCAAAAGGAAGCTCATAACATCTCAAAATACATTTAAGCACTTTGATGTTTTCCATTGAGTCCAATGTTATAAATTATGGTCACAATTGTTATTATTATGATTGTGACATTGATTATGGCCGTTGTAGTTTAAATTATTTTATGATTTAAAAAATATTTTTAAATTTGAGGTAGTCCGAATTGGCCTGATGCAATTTGACGTAGCCCAAAGCAACCCGATATAGTTGTACGTACTATACTAATGCAGTCACATCATTGTAATTTAGTGTCACGCCATAATTACACTGTGATGCCGTTATAATGTTCAGTGCAACCACAACATGCTCCAATCACATCATTGTAATATATCACCCGCATAGTGTAGATGTGAGATACCATTATCTTCTTTTTTCCGACCTTGTAGGCTCTAAACAAATAAGATACTATAATTTAAGATGAGGAGAGATCCATTGACTCCAAAAGTAAGTTTCTTAGCTATCAATTCTAAGGAAATCCAATGGTTTGAATTAGTGGGTAGATCTAAACCATCGGATTTCCCTAGAATTGATAACTAAGATGTGGAGTAAGTTTAAAAAAACTTACTCTTAGAGTAAGTGGATCCCCACTCATTTAAGATTGGATGGTAATACTCTCAAAGACTTTGTTTATATTTCGTTAGACTTGCTCTATAATTATATTTCTAAAGAATATTGTTTTAAAAATAACTCTATTTGATTAGAATTATGGCATAAAAAGCCATACAATATAAAGTTGTAAGATAAATAATTTCTATAGAATTATCTTAAATGGATTTGTTATCCTCTATTTTTGGGCATGATTAAGGAATATTTATTTTATTGAAAAGTGCGATGTCGTAGTGTAGTCAAATTTTATGTTGGAGATTAATGGTGTGAATCTTGAGTCACCACAAAGAGTTTTACCCTAGCCATTTTCACAGCAGCATTCTCATGTCCATGTTGTAAGAATATTTATCCACCCATAAACAAAAACTTTGTTTGAAAATTAAATAAATCATTTCTAAACATATTATATTGATAGCTCTAATCATTTCGAAACATCTGTCTTAGGCTTATATTACAAAATACCTATTTAATATAGATTTATTGTTACCTGGCTGCATAGACATTGATGATTGAGGAATAGATATCAAAGTAGTAGTACCTTGTGAAGGAGTAATGGTACTCCCAGTTAATGAATAGATAAATACTTCATAAAGAAAAGTAAAATATAACTTTTAATTATATATTTAATTTTTAATTATAATAATTACATTTTTATCACTAAAATATAATATATATAAAATAAACTTATGGTCATTTTTCTATATGAATGATAGTGACTCCAATATTGCTTAGAAAACGCTGGCGCAATGTGGCCAGCACCTGCAACCACAAATATTGCTGGAGTAATACATGAGGCAATAAGAAAGAAGAATAAAATGAAAATATTTTTTTCTTTAGTTCTTCGATATTATATGTTTATTAAAAGCATT